GATGATGATAAAATCCCAGACCCATTGTCATCTGATGAAGATGAAGAAGAGTTTGAGCGTAGAGAAGAGGTTGCAAATACACTTGAATGTGGAGAGCTTTTGTATTTGGGGAAAACCTACGGATGTGCATCTGAATTTAAAGTGGCGTTGCTTAGGTATTCTCTCCGAACGAGGTATGATATCAAGCTTTATAAGTCTTGTGCTAAGCATCTTGGCGCAAAATGCTCAGATATATAATCTAAATGTCCTTGGAGAATTTATTGTTCCTATGAAAGAAGAAGACATAAGATGCAAGTGAAGGTATTTGTGAATGAGCATTGTTGCATTAGGTCAGGGCACTCGAAGATGTTGAAGACTTCTTCTATTGCCATGCTCTTTGAGGAAAGATTAAGACTAAATCCTAAGTTTACTAGAACGGAAATGGCAGCTGAGATAAAGAGAGAATATAATATGACTGTCACTGAGGAACAATGTGGAAAAGCAAAATCCAAGCTTTACAGAGAAAGAAAAGCCAGCCATGAAGCTCACTTCTCTCGGATTTGGGACTACCAAGCTGAAGTCCTACAATCTAATAAATACTCTACTATGAAGATTGAGACGGTTCCAGGGCCTGTGGTACAAAGCAAACAAAGATTTGATCGCCTCTATATGTGTTTTACAGCTCAAAGAGAGACTTGGATTGAAACTTGTAGACCCATCATCGGTTTAGATGGTGCATTTCTGAAATGGGATATAAAAGGACATTTGTTAGCGGCTGTTGGAAGAGATGGTGACAATAGAATAGTTCCAATTGCTTGGGCCGTGGTTGAGGTAGAGAATAACATAAACTGGGAGTGGTTTGTTAGACTGTTGAAGGAAGATTTAGGACTGCAAGATGGGTCCAAATTCACCATCATTTCAGACAAACAGAAGGTTAGAATGTTTATTTGATTTTTTTTCTTATGAAAGATGACTGAAATGTTTACTAACTGATGTAGGGCTTGGTGAATGCTGTTAAGAGTGAACTACCAGAAGCAGAACACCGTATGTGTGCAAGACACATATTGTCAAACTGGAAAAGAGACGGTAAAGATCCCGAGTTAGAGCGTTTGTTTTGGATAATAGCTGGCTGCTACACTAAAGGAGAGTATGAAGATGCTTTAGAAGTACTGAAGAAATATAATCGAGGTGCATTTGATACTCTTCAACTACAGAATCCGACAACATGGTCTAGGGCTTTCTTTAGAGTTGGCTCATTTTGCAATGATAACCTCAACAACCTCTGTGAGTCTTTCAATAAAACCATTAGAGAAGCAAGGAGAAAACCATTACTTGACATGTTGGAAGACATTAGGAGGCAATGCATGGTTCGTAATGCAAAGAGAGCTTTTCTTGCTAGTAGGCTGAAAACATATTTTACTAAGAAAGCACACACTGAGATTGAACTCAACAAAGAGAAGGCTAAAGATTGCAGAAGATACATTGCTTGTGGAAACATCCATGAGGTTGATGACTTTGGTGTTTCTTATCGTGTGGACATGGATCTTCGAATATGTGGCTGTATAAAATGGCAGCTTACTGGAATCCCTTGTATACATGCTTCTTGTGTGATTACAGCCAAGAAGATTAGGACTGAAGATTATGTTTCAGACTTTTACACAGCCCAAAAGTGGAGACAAACATATAGCCGTGGAATTCGGCCTGTCCAAGGCATGAAGTTGTGGCCTAGATTAAATAAGATAGGAGTTTTGCCACCCCCATTTAGAGTAGGCAACCGTGGAAGACCAAGTAACTATAATAGGAAGAAAAGTTTCAATGAAACTTCATCCAACAAGAGCAAGATGACACGGGACAAGCGAACCATGACATGCTCAAACTGTCATGAGGAAGGTCATAACAAAGTGACTTGTGCTAATGAAAGAGTTGAAACTGCACCTAAAAGGCCAAGAGGTCGACCAAGAAAGGATACGTTGGTATGTGTTTTGTGTGTATTATGTTACCAAGTTGATTGTCTTGTTGTTATGATTAACTTTTTTTTTTAATGTAATTTTGCAGGGAACTCCATCGCAAGGACTCTCCTAAGACTTATCTCAGTCTTCACAAATGTGATCTTGACTTATTTAAGTCTGGTTATGTTTTATGTTTTCGTTTGTATTGAAATTATTTAATTAGGTCTTGACTTTGTGTTTTTTGTTTTTGTTTTTGCTTAACATATGACTTTCTGATTTTGTTTTTGTTTCGACTTTAAGTTTTTCTTTAAGAAATTTCACAAGTGTGATCTTGACAATGTGTTGTCTAAATATATGTGTTGTCTAAATATATGATCTTTACATTCTCGTACCATTGTAAAGTCAAAAACATACGCCAATAAAAAACATCACATTCTCAGCAGGTGGTCATCAGCAACATAGAAAGTACCAACGTAAGAGACAAGGTACACCATTGCCATAAGCAACCTGTGTTGCTTCCTTTCACACTCACCATCTGCACGTTTCCGGCTTCAGCAACGTTAGTGATCAACACCAAGTTGAAGTACTTGGATCCATTGATCGTGAATCTTATACCTCCTTTCTTCCTACATGGGACCCTGTAACACCAAAAAGAGCAAATATTAAATATATATTGCAATTAGTTTTTGTCTGAAAATGTTAAATATATATTAGATAGACACTTTTGAATATTTTATAAGTTTTACGTAACTGCATGAACTAATAAGAGTACTAGTATGCTGCCACGACAAGACTCGGTTTTGGGTTATGTGGGTGGCCTGACAGATGTATGGGGTGGAGTGAGGAAGTGCCGGGTCTTAGCTGACTTCGATGCAGAAAAAATGGTTAAAAATGTTTCTGAAGGTTATGGGTCGAGTCCAGCCGCCGTGTTCACACCGTAACCTTGGCTATACAAGTTCCCGTACCCACACGCACCACCTACAACAATACAAACCGTTATGTTAAATGTCTACTTGGTGAACAGAGAGTGTGAGAGAGAGAGCATGTGTGTGTGTACCCATAGTGCCGGAAGCATCAGCTTCTCCATAGAAGGTGGCGTGAGCGTTTACCCAAGGACCATTACTGTCATTATTTTCGCCGCCATTTTTTTCGTCGGTACGGACAAAAAGTTTTGAAGTGTTTGGAACAGAGAGAGAGAGAGAGAGAGAGAGAAAGAGAGAGAGAGAGAGAGAGAGAGAGAGAGAGAGAGAGAGAGAGAGAGAGAGAGAGAGAGAGAGAGAGAGAGAG